TGTGTGTGTGTGTGTGTGTGTGTGTGTGGGCAGGCGTTAACGTGTGTATGTTCGCAGACTTCATAGGCCTTTGCACACGCAGACGTGATAGTTGTTGAGCGCACTCACACGGCTCTGCATGTTTAATGTTGACGTTATTGAAACTGTGACGCGATTCGTCGTCTATTTCTACGGTTGCACATAATCTGCTTAGCGCCGGGTTTTCTTTCTAATAGTCAGTTAACATAATTGGAAATACACATTACACTTAGAGAAACTCACTCTCACTCTCATGTTAAATGCATCAGCTTCATACGCTAACTGTGCCGTTTATGTTTAATGAGAAAAATTCATGAAAAATATCCCAATAAATTTTTCAATTTGCTTTAATTCCCTCCAGCGGTTTGCGGAGCCGCAGTCAGTATTTGCTATGATTTTCCGTTATGGGGAAGATCTTTATATATGATAAAATATTTAGCGTTTTTTTTTTATATATCAGTTTGATATTTTTTATTTTTTAATGAGGTGATTATATCTGCAATAATCAGATTTCAGTCAAAAGAAGTCTTCTCTAATCTGCCCCAGACCTCATTTATTAAAACCCTGGTCTCTTCTCACGTCAGCGATCATTCAGAAGCGTCTCAAGAAGGAGAAGAAGGCCAAGAGGAAACTCCAGGAAGCTCTGGAGTATGAATCCAAGAGGAGAGAGCAGGCGGAGCAGACCCTGAAGCAGCCATCGCCCTCCGACAGCATGCGCTCACTCAACGGTCAGACGCTCCACAGTGAGACACTTGCTTTTTCTTTCCTTTTTTTTTTTTTATTAAAACGTTTTCTGGGTTTTCAGTTTGACAAATGGGACAAAGAGCAAAATGTGTTCAACTAATATGATTGTTCAGGAGATAAATGTTACCAGAAGCAAATATTGACATTCCTCAGATAACTTTATCCTCAAAAACATAATTATTCATCAAATGGTGTTAATACATGAGCTCACATCTTTAACCGTATCGTATTTACTTAATGTTTATGGCAGAGGTAAGTACATTAATGCTGTTTTATGAATATATAAGTGGAATTTAAAACTCTGTGCTCAAAGGTTGCAACTAATAATTACTTTTTATCACCAATTCATCTGCTGAATATGTTCAAGATTAATTCACTCATCACTTAGTCTGTGTCTTTAATTAGTGAAAAGAAGTTTCTCAGAGCTCATCGTACAATCAACTAAATCTGAGGATATTTAGTTAAAAATTTCATAAAACAGAGAAAAGCTGCAAAATCTTTACATTTGAGAAGCAGGAGCCAGAGGTTGAGAAACATATTTACTTGAAAACAATTAATGGACGATCAGAATACTTTCCAACTAAGTAATTTTACTTATAATCGATTAACTGATTCATTTTTCACCTGTAATGTGCACAGAGTACCACAGTTCAGGATTTACATAGAAAACAGGATGAGATCTTTTCTGAGATACTCTCAAATATCACGTTTGACAAAAACAAATGTGATGTCGTCAAATATTTCTTATTTTTACACATTAGTTGGTTGTGCAGGTAATTCTCCATGTATTTCTACTTCTTTTACTGCAGCTCATCAACATTATGCAGCACAGTGCGAAGTAATCAGGCCAGTTTCAAAATCAAAACATGACGGACAGATTTTACTATCGACACCTCTTAGCACCAACACATCTTTTATTCAATCAAACAACAGAATGCGCGCTTCACTGCTTTTAAGAGATAATTATTCCAAAGTCTAACATCACACATCTGAGGGGTTTATTTTTTTCGCCGCTGATAAAAATCTCACTCTCCGTCCAACACACACGTGAGAAGGAGATGTAGCTCGGAGCGTCTTGTTTTGAATGAACGATGCTGTGAAGCAGGCGTTGTGATAGGTGGATGTCAGGGATGTTTAACGGCGGTGATCCCTCTCTTCTCTCAGACTCTCTGACCCCTGAGATGGAGAGTGACCGCAGCAGTGGAAGAACAGATGCTGAAAGGACAATACAAGGTACAGGGGCTCAGATGAGACAATAAATCTCTCTCTCTTTCTCTGGCTCTTGCTCTCTCTCTCTCTCTCTCTCTCCCTCTCTCTCTTCTCTCTCTCACACACACACACACTGCTTCAGTTTATGAACATTAGTGTTTCTGTGCCTGCTGTTCAGGCATACAGCTCACCATCTGGGCCACAGCACTGGGTCAAGATCATTGGTTTTCTGTAGAAATAATATTATTCTTTTACTTTGATTTTTTACAGGCTGAGATTCCTTCAGGAAACAGATATATTTGTATTTTCAGAAAAAAAACAAAGCAATGCACAATGCAGTGAGTAAAACTGTGTAACGACTGGGATAAGAAGGATGCAGAGAAAGAAAGAATGAAAGAAGTGGTTTGTTTACAGCCCAGGAAGCAGTAATGAGTCATAAAACCACAAAAAGCAGTGGAATCCCCCCTTTGATAGTAATAAACGGGGCAAATCAATCCATTTTATGAATAAGCCTTGTACATTTTTAATGGTTTGTTTGTTTGTTAGCCTTGGGGGTGCAGTATGTGTTTGGGGAAGGGCGCTGTAGTGATAACCTCGGTAGACTGTCTGCTATCTGTGTTTACCCAGATACACGACACCTCGCAGAGGTTGAATATCCTCATTATTGCTCCAACGTCTTCCTTTAATACGCCTCGGCCGCGTCCGCTCACCGCCGCTTCTTATCGGAGAGAGAGGTCCCAATTTATCTAGGTGGAGAATGCTCCGTGTAAATTGCTGCGAAAAGTAAAGAGAGAGAAAAATATTCATCTTTTTTTTTTTTTTTTATGCAAGAATAAGTTGGGTCCCTTGAATTCTTTAATGTTTGATTAGTCTACTTGAACTGATTTTTTTTTTTTGCGTGTGTTAAAAAAAGAAAGAAAAACGTACTTAGTGAAAAGCTGACTCCTCCCTAATTAAATGTCATTCAGTCACTGCAGGGATCTGAGAGGAGTTTGATGTCCAAAAAAAGGAAATCCATATGTCATCATTTAAATACAAAGATAACTTCTAGATACAGTGTAATTATAGCCCCTTATTTCATACCAAATTAGTACATTTAACCAGAGCGTTTTACACTTAGATGATGAAGAGCTGGCTCTTTGTAGTCTAATTGTATCAAGTTCAATGTGTTAACTCTTTACACTCACAATAACTGCAGCCATTGTCCTGCTTAAATGTAAACTTTGGGTGGAAATGAAGCAGAATTGTTTTTTATATTTGATCCCTGCTCGCGACAGCGAGCCACGGAGCAGATCATTTATTTGGGGGTCTCTCAATCACTGTGATCACTGCCTGGAATAGCAGAATGAAGGAGGAAACTGAATAACACGCTGCACTTTGTGTTTTTGTTCAATTAGAGAAGCATTTGTCTGCCACCCATGTCTCCTCTGCTCTACTCCGCAAGCCTCGCTGTATAATTAACCTCGAATGGCAAAAAATGATGTTGATGAATTACACGAGCAGGAGGGGGAAAAAAAACAAGCCTATCACTCGCATGAAAGCCGAGAGAAATGTGTGGGTATATTCTCAACTCCAAACTCAGGGAGGCGAACGGCGAGAGAGAGTGGGGAAAAAAAAATAATAATAATGAGGGCATAATTTTAGAGAACTAATTATTTCTATTTGTCTTTTGTCACACTTCTCTAATTCTGCGATATTAACACAGTCTGTGTTTATTAATTGCTTTTGCAGTGTTTTGAATCGGGTCCAAGTGGGAACGTGGCTCTTTTCACAGGCAGGCGAGCTACTGGGACTGTACCTCGCCAGTACTGCCTGGCAACGGTGCACATGCAAATATCTTCCCCCAGTATCTCCGTCGGTTCCCTGCCGCTTCCCACTCGATGTGTTCGGCAAGTTTACACGACCCTGTGCACAGAGATAAAGTTCTTTGTTGCAAGATTAAACATCAAAACAGTTAAAGTGAAATTAAAATTAAATGAATGAATGTCACTGAAGCAAAAAAGGCTGTAATTAATGGATCCCTTAATTGTCTTCATAAAATATTTGCATGGGCATAATTTGCATAATTTCCATGTATTAATTAATCTTTCAAAGGAATTTTATGCTGAGGGAAGCCAAAAAATTCCCTTTGTTTTATTTAGCATCTAATGAAATATTTATTCTCTTTAATGAACTTTTCATCTTGATTTGAATATAAAAATACTAAAGTTTGAGCAGATTTTAATGAGACGCTCTTTCATAAAACAGCCCATATCAAGACGTCACTGATTTTTCTATTTGTGTGCGGAAGTGTCAACATTTGCACTAATTTGAAAATGGATGGAGATTCGCTTATCAAGCTCACTTATCGCCCGTCTTTCACGATAATTTCATCTATTAGAAGTAAAACGCTGCAAATATCCAACATCCTCTCGACAACGTATTAACTGTCATCCTCCCTCAAATAATCAGATTGTCTCTGTTTTCATTAACACCCCCTATAAACTGCTGTGACGCTGGGCAGGCAGGAAGGCTGTGAGGTGAGCGTGTGATGTTTTGTCTGCCTGTGCTCAGAGGTGTGTGTGTGTGTGTGTGTGTGNGTGTGTGTGTGTGTGAGGGTGTGTGTGTGTGTGTCGGCTCTGCGCTATAGCACTGTGCATTCACGCCGTAATGACTTTTACACAGAACTCAGTGGTTGCTGCTTGAATAGAGGCAGCCAGAGTGCAATGCCTCCGAGACCCACGGCAGTGCTGGGTAATTAGCCTGTGTGTTTGTGCAGCCCCCCCCCCCCCCTTACGCACACACACTCATAACATGACCAAGCCTTTGTTGTCTCCACTCTGTGCACAAAAACATAAAACACAGGCTAAAGAGGAGAAAAGCAACGATTGATAAGATATTGATGATAAAAAGACTAAGGACAACAACAAAAAGAAAGTTGTTAAGATATGAATCCTGTTGCTTCTGTGTGTAACTGCCTCAGAGTGAAACCAGGTGTATTCTCCAACATCTCTGAAGAACAGGACTCCAGCGTCTCCTCCTCGATGTCCTGCGCGGCTTGTGTCATGTCCAACAACTTGCTCGCCGCTAAATGTCTTTGTGTGTGTTTCTCTTTAACGTTGAATTATTAAGGCGTGCTGCCATAGAGAGGTGCGCTTCTTTAGAGGCTTTACTGTAGCGTTCTCCGGCAGAGGAAATGTGAAGGTAATAAACGTCAAACATGCTCCTGAGCTGTGCCTAACAGATGCTTTTACCAGCTCAGCGTCGGAGCAGCGCTGCTCGCTCAGGCGAACACTCAGACAAGAGCGTTTCGCTGCAAATGGACAAAGCTCGTTAGGTTGGAGGTGTCTGGAGATAACGCAGCAGAGGAATGTCTGCTGTTTTCAATAAACACTATTTCCAAGCAGGAAATGTCACTTAGAGAGAGCTTTACATCGTCAGTGCAGTAATATGTTCGAACAAGCGTATCAGTAGAGACGTCTTAAACACGTGCAGCACACAGATCTGATACCTACCATAGCTGCTTTTACACTGTGTGGTCATGAAATATGTATGTAACAGTGTAATTATATGTGTATGTCCTGTCTTATGCACTGAATATGATCTTAAATACAACGGTGAAGCTACTTTGAGTTTTTTTTCTTATATGTGTATCTTGTAAGTAAGAAAATGGGCGTATACTCGATATTTAATCGTATTTGTCACGGTCGCTAACTTTATCTTATCCTTAAATTGGTTTATGAAGCCGCAGTAACGCTGCTGAAATCAAAAGACTAGAGGGCAACATTTCAAAGTTACGTTTCATCAACAATCGCATCCTGAATGGTGCGTTTTCGTCAGCAGGATGTTCGCTGTTGGCTAATCCCTGGCTCCTGTGTGTCCTCTGTTGCAGATGGAAGACTGTTCCTGAAAACCACAGTGATGTACTGATAAGGCCGGGAGGAGCTGGAGGAAACAAAAAAATTCCATGAAAAAAAAAAAGAGAGAAAGAAAGAAAGAAAAGAAAACCCATGAAGATTCTCAACGGCCCTTATCCAGGCTGATTTTAATAGTGGAAAGAAGTCAAGCTGCTTGTAGGAGTTCAATGGAAATGCTGTGTTCACCCAAATGCTCGAGGAGGTTGTGTCTGAATGTAGAGTAAGAAGTCTTTTTTTCCACCACCAGAGGCCGACGCTAAATAGTTTGATAAAGCAGGTTTTGACGGGTTGGCCAAACGTGAAGGATAACATATATATTGAGCACAGTAAAAATGTACCCATGGTACACTGTTGGTAATAACTCGTAAATTCACAGCACTGAAGATTTTTATACTGTATCTCAGCCAGCGAGAAAGCTTCGAAAACGAAATTCGAAATAAGGTTTGTTTTGTATTTCAAATTGAATTTTGAGAAGCTAAAACGTGGAGATGAACCTCGTGGAGGAGGAGAGGGGGGGGGGGTGTGAATCTGTCCACGTGTTCATCAAAAGAGAAGACTGATGTTTTGATTTTAATGTTTTCTAAATTAGATGACAATACAATCAAGTTTCCTTTTTACCATTGTTGTATATACATGATCGGATGATAATGATAGGAAGAACTCACTCTATCGAACCCGAGCGGATTGATGAGGTATGTGTATATAACGTTAAGAGGTATTGTGTATGCAGTAGAGCTATTAGGCAAACAATACCACCATTTATATAAACCTACAGTTTTGTTTTGTTCTATTTCTGAGCCATCATTCTTTCCTATAGCTGCCATTTTGGTGAGAAAGCATGCAGGCATGTAAATGTTTGTCCTGGAATTATGATATTTAATAAATCCTATATTGTGCTGAACAAATACTAGGGTTGACTCACTCGAGCCCGCAGGATTTTGAAAAACATAACTATCAGACATTTCACTTTCAAAAATGAAGACTTTTGCTGTCGATAGTACTGTAATCTTTGTAACAGAGGTAATATTTCTTGGAATTTACTGTACATTTGTCATGAGACGCACTCAAAAGTCAGCACCTCTCGATACTTTTACAGAAAAAAAAATAAAAAAAAATATCCAGACTAATTCTGACCACGTGTCGACTTCAGAAACAGTCGGTCACGACACAAATGTTTCCGATCTCGATGCCATTTAGGAACCACGACGCTCAGATCCCCGTCGAGCCAACACACACACACACTCTTGTTTTTTCTTAGAGTGCGTGGCGATATCCTGACGAGAAGAAGAACTCATGATAAGTTTTGATTTTCTTGTTACTTTCCCTGAAGACTTCTGAATTTCAATGCTGAAACACCTGTGTATATTCTCTAGACATAAGCTGATGTCAGTCGTTTAACTGCAAACCAGTTTAGACGTTATGTGTTACAATCAGGAGAGGAAGAGGAGGAAGAGGAGGAGGAGGAGGAGTGTCCCATGTTCACGATGTGTTTGTTCTTTTTGTTCTCAATGGAGTGTCTAGGTCTGTTGTCACTGATAACTTATATAGCTTCTCGAATCATCTCTTCATTGTATTTCAAATTCAAATAAAAGTTAACATGTTGATGATAAACTGTGAGTTAATGTTGCCTGAGGTCTCGAGTACACGACACTGGATTTATACGAACATTTCACGCACAGCCACTGACTACACACCGTATATAAAGATGGACGACGTGAAACTGAAGCTCCCCAAAACTGAAGCCAAAGTGTATTGACTGCCCCCTGGTGGCTGGCTGTAGTAACGCTCATAAACCCCGCCTCTACTCTAGTTCAGCACACTGACGTTTGTTAAGGTGCAAATGTTCCCGTAACTTCAGTTATTTGATGCCGTAAAAGTGAGTGGAAACAAGAATGACAGCGCGGCCGACCCCTGATTGGTTGAGCTCCTGCATCTGCAGGAACTCAACACCTTGGCTCCGCCCCTCAATTTCTACTTCGGAGATTGGCTGCAAATAACTTCTGCAGGATCACTTCCTTCTGTTCTAAATGAATGTTGGATATTTTAGCTTCATATCTGGATAGTGGGAGGCGTCGTCCATATTTATATATATTCTACTGACAGACGCACGACAGACTAACGGTTCAAGATAAAAGTGAAGGCGAGTGATTGGAAATAACTGTTGTGTTTTCAGCGTGTGTGTTTTTTGGAGACCTTTAAAAACATCCCTCAGTCTTTTAACTCATTTCTGTGTTTTATATTTATATGGCTTAAAAAAATTAAAACATTACAGGTATATTGTACTGTAGAAAAATAAATGAGCATATTGTTCTTCCGTTTATATTGAAGTTTTAAAAAAAAATGGTATGTCTTGAAAGGAGAACGTCTTGTGTGAGTTTTTCCTTCAGTGCATGTGTGTGTGTGTGTTTGACTTCTGAATGCATAGGTTAATCCATGTGGGGTGGGGGGGGGGGGGATGTGTAAATGAGCGTGTGACCAAGCTCAATGTAAATGAATAATTTCATGTGTACTTTCAAGTGTGAGACACTAATTCACCATATATCACCATCAAATAAACAACACTTACAGTTTGACCAGTTGTGCACAATGTAGGGTGATGCATTATATTATTATAGATTTTGAAAAAACACCCAGGCTTTGAGGGAGATGCATTTTTTTTTTTTTTTTTTTCTTTTTCAAATGTAACATTGTGTTTTATTGTGGCGCTTACAAATACAAATCTCTTCTTTTCTCTTGATAATTATTTGCACTGACTGTTGTTGAGTAACGTTCTTTATTTCTGCTCTAAATAAACAACAGTTGTGAGCAGGGATCATTTCAGAGCAGCAGTAACAGGTACAGCCCTGGAAACACATATAAAATATGAAATCGACATTGAGAGACAAATTTCTCTAGTAAGCAATTCTGAGGGAAATGTGTTGACACAGCATCCTCGGCCCATTCCCATTTTGCATGCTTTTTAAAGCACGGCCATAACACAGCCACGGAGATGAATAATTGACTGATTGCTGCATAATTCAATGCTGCATTGTAAAAACCCAAGCCCTGAAATATTTCAAGCTTTTTCATCTTTGTATTAAGAAAATTAGGTTAAAGTTTCAATCAACCTTGAAAGAACAATATGACACACTGGGCGATCAATCACGAAGCCAAGCTGCCCGTCGGGTTCACGCTCACTCCGACTGTCGCTGCTCCTCCTGAAATTCAAGCTCACTCTGGAGCGAGAGAAACTCTGACATCGTGTCCACTTTATCCGTTTAATGACTCAATCGTTCCTCCTCTTTCTTCGCTCGCCGCCAATGAGCTCGTGAGACGTGAGCTGTTCACAGCCATTACTCAGATATTCTGTTTGTTTCTCTATCTGATGCCATTTCCTGCGCCGGCATCCGAGAGGAGAGGCCCTGCAGCTACATGTTTCATATCACTGCACATTTTGTAATAAATTCAATTCAGTACAAATATGACCATGAGGCACAAAGACTTTAAATACCAAATGTGCATTATAGCTGTGTTGTTGCATTTCACTCGGCTGTGGCGTGGAAAGTGCAGCGCTGATTGCATATTCAAAGCGTCAGCAGCCGTGTGCTTTATTTACTTGGCATGACGTGGAGATGTGCTCATGAAGACATCATCCAGATGTGATTATTCCGCTTGATCCCGTCTCTTCTCTCACTCTTTGCCTAATGTCACATTGTTTCATTTGTTGCTGTTTGTTGCTGTTTGGTTTTCGCTCGACCAGCTGAAGAAAAATGCTCCTGACACTTTCTGCAGTTTTTCTTTTTTTACACTTTAAGGGTAAAAAAGTTTCACAAGAGAGAAGTGAAGTTGTATTTATACGTCAGCATCGTGTCAACTGCAGTGTTAACCCCGACCCTGCTAATTCTCTGCTCATCATCACGACCGGGCAATGGCCATTTAGTGCAAAGCAGTAATTCTGCATGTGTCTTGATAAGTCCGTGGTGCCCTGAGTCTGCAGAGAGACATTAGGAAGGTGGCGGCTGATAGTCTGAAAGATAGGACTAATGTCACCTAATCAGATAGACCATTATGTATTAGCGAAACTACAAAACAGTTTTATCTGACAAGGGCCAGGCCACATTACCTAAATTAACATTTTGCAAGCGTGAACATGGAAGACCACAGAGGCGAGGGGAGGGCTGTAGGACTGTGGCCTGCGCTTAGACATTCGGCAGTAATTATTAATTTATGATTGTCTCTGGTCTTAATGAAAATGAAAGCCAGGAAAGAGAACAGGGAGGGATAATGTGGCGTGAAATTGAGTTTCATTTGTACAGGGGCCACCTTTTAACTTTGCGCTTCTTAGGCGGAAATGGAGCTGAGCGATTCCCCCCCTCTCGCTCTTTCTCTCCAGAGAATGGATCTCAGTGTTTTCTCTTTTTTTTCCATCATGTTCTTCTCTTTCAGTCTCTCAGTCAAAGCGTGTTCATATCCTCTCATCCTTTTGTGATATTTGGGGCCAACACGCCCTTTAACATCTCCATTACTCGTGCGAGGCCTTTTCAAAATGACACAAGGCTCTTTGATGTCTGATAACTATGTCAACAAGTTTCTTGAATGGAAATGTCTCTGCACAGTGTTGCTTTAATGTCAACAGGGCAGCTCAGAAAGGTCTGTCATCAGGCTGGTATGAGAGCGGCCGAACGAGAGGTGGATTGATTGTGTTGACTGTAATACGCTGTTGATCTGATACAAGAAATAAGTTTAAAGTGATCATTATTTTTTATTTAATGTCGGTATATGCCGGTAATGCTGATCCCTGTGGGGGGTGACAGGCCAATTCAAAGCTTACACTCGACACTGAAGTGATAATGGTGAAGCAGCAGGGAAGATGGAGGTGATAAGGGTCTGTGCAGAAATACATGCATGAATGCTGGGCATTAGATAATTCATATATATCTATAAATACAGATTCACATATTATTTTGTAATGATTGAATTGAAATAACATTGTAAAAATAACATTCCGGCATATTTTTGGTTTCCATTTTGGCTTAAATCAATGCACATGATATGGCCACATGGGGGCAGTTTGATATTTACATGTCCGATAGGAACAGGGTTAACTACAGTTGTGTTTTTGGACACATGATGAATCAAAACGTTCAATATTTATTTATACTTTAGGCTCCAGTTTTGATCTCTATCACTTCCTGAGGGGGGTTTCTGAGCTTTTAATCTGTTAAATGTTCCGCTATGTTCTCCACCAGCTGTACAGTGAGTGGATTTTAATGGGGGGTAAGTAGGGGGGAGGTGGGTGTGACCTTGGATATATACATGTCCGTTAAAAAAAAGACAGAGCAACTGATTTCAGTTCTGTTTCTGACGAATCAAAGTCCAGTGTTATTTGTCTTTTAGCTCCAATTTTGGTCTCCACCACCTCCTGAGGGAAACGTCTGGTTCTGAAGCTGCTAAATGTTCCACTATGTTCACCACCAGCTGTTTTTTTTTGTTTGATTTGAGAAGAGTGAAAAAAAAACAGTAACAGTTTAAACTATAAGACCCAAACGATGACTGAAAGATGTTCTCAGCTTTCTCAACAGAACTGAGGACGGATTTTTAAACAATTTGTTATTTAAAATAAGAATTAATTTGATATTTTTCACAGTAAACACCAGAATAATAACACCTACATTAATTCTATTGTCTTTTTATTTATTTGCTGCCCCCTCACAGCTCAATTCAAGCTTCATACACCACTGCAACACTTTGAAGCTGCTTCACTTCTGAGGTGGCGTCTGTAAGCTCTCGCAAAATTACTCACAGCCGGAGTATCCAAATCACCAGGGTTGGTTATATTAAGTCAATTACATTTTTACAATTGTGAGCGAGGGATGGTTAATTTAGTTTGACCCGGGAGCCCCCCCGACACTCCCCCAGATAGCAGATGGATGAGACGAGTGACCACAGGCGTGAGGGAGTGTGTGTCTGAGTGTGTGTGAGCCCATTGGATTAGTCTTCATTTGGCGCCTCTGTCATGAGGGAGGGGAGGAACGAGCACAGTGTGGCAGAGCAAAGAAAACACACAGGGTCAGGCAAACACACACAAACACAAGCGTGCGCTATTAACCCCCCCCCCTCCCTTCAGCTCATCAACTTTATTTTGCAATCTTCCCTCAGAACCATTAGAATACCCTGAAGAAATGACTTTCCAATTAAAGCGGATCTAGAGGAAGAAGAAGGTTTTTCTTTTTTCCTTTTTTTTTTATCTCGGGCTCCTGGAGTTCTTTATTCCAATAATTTAAATTGGAATTGATTTTTCAATTTACCCGCTGACTGCTATGGACACAGAGCAGAGGGCCAAATGGAGCCACGTCCCCGGAATATTTGTCACGATGGCGCGCCACATGTAAATTTGCAAAAGCCTCCTAAATAGCAATAGATTTCCTCCTGTGAGAACAATCAGGCAGGACAACAAATGTACTGCGAGTGATTATTCAGCAGCATCGGGTATTTATCTCTGAATTTATCGAGTAGTAGATCTTCCTTTAATTTCCTTTCCTCACTAATTAGGACAAACAATCACAAATCTGTTCAATTACAAAATAATAGGTTCAAATGTATGATCTTAGTCTACGTCCACACCACAACGTTTTCGTTTGAAAGTGCATCAACTCTGGAACAGATACCTTTGGCGTCCAAAACACTCAGGGCTGCATTATTGTCTGGACGGGTGTAAAACAGAGATGTCGGCCCATCTCTCTCGGACATTTGCGTTCACACGCCATAGAAAATATAGAGGAAATGCATAGTTCAGTGCACAACTGAAAACAGCTTCAATTACGAGCATTATTGACGCTGTTGTCTTTGCTTACAGCTGTTGTGCAGTTTTCGTATTTCACAATGATACAGCTGTTTTATGTGGACAGGAGACTATTATTCAAGCTATCTTCGATAATTCTGCAACCAACAACCAATTGCTTCCTGTTTTCACCGGCACACACATGCCCAGTGGACGAGAGTGGTCATGTGTTTTCAGGCTTTTCAGAGCCAAAACGCTTGTGTGGACAGAAATTGTTTTAGTTTGAATTCAATGTTTGCAAATGAAATGTAGTCGTATGGGTGTGGCCTGAGCAGTTTATTTAACTGATTATTTGTAGGGTTTATCTTTTATGAGGTCATTTGTGCTCAAATCATTCACTCAGCCCAGACCGTTCTATTACACAGCGTTTCCACATGTTCTGAGGAAACAGTGGTCTGGCCCAGG